CAGAACTTGCCAATAAGTTTTCAGAGATGTTTCAGTTTTTTTTGTGGTCGATTACTGATAGAAGTATCTGGAAAAAAGGCAAATTCAGTATTGAAGTAGATAATGCTAGGTTTCAAGTGTGTTAATAAGCTGCTGCTACATAAATAAAAACTGGGAAGTTTTCTCTATCATCAGAAAAAAAATCAGCTCATTTGGTTAGAATACAGTGGAGATATGCAATTTTCTTTTTGGTAGGTGACTTTTGGGACACTCTGTAGATATATACATCTCATGATGTCTTCCTACAAATTATGGATTCATTATGGTTATCCATAAAAAACTACAAAAATGATCTACATATATTTTTCATTAGGAAAGATTGATGTTTTGTTATGAAATCATTTTGTTGTCTAACTATTTCTACTTTCCTCATCAAGTAATTATTATAGTTACTGTCATGGCTTCAAATCATATTGAATCTATATTGTCTTTGTACGGTAAAATTATTGAATACAGATCTATTGATAAATAGGCACGACATCATCTGATGTTTTTTTTCTTTGGTGTGATTTTGATAAGTCTTCTTGTTTGATGTAGTGATACAAATAGAATATGAACAAGTTATCAACATGCACTGGTGGTTCAGTGGTAGAATGCTCGCCTGCCACGCGGGCGACCCGGGTCCGATTCCCGGCTAGTGCACTCTTTTTTTCTCATTAAATAAATCGAACCAATATGTTACACGCTATAGTTCTATTGTTCAATGTGGATATTTCAGTGAACAAAGCAGTAGAAGTTTTTCTAAAAAATTATTCTTACCAATACTTCAAGTGATGTTTTCTTTCGAAATCATTTTCTTATTTATCCATCTCTGCTTTTCTCATCAACATCAAAATTTTAGTAAAGCATATTCAGTTTAAAAATTATAATATTTGAATAGATTTTGGGTTCGACTCCCGGCCAGTGTACTTTTTTCCCTCCATTTATGTAATTAAGTATTAAAATCAGTTGTTAACAGTGGCTTACCTTTTCATATATTCAACAAACTGCAGTAATATGCTGCTCTATTTTATGTCATTCAATATGAGTCTTTCAAAGCAACATAAATATATTCATCAATGCTCTAGGCGATCACTTCTTTTCTGTCTTGTTTGCAACGTACAAGAAAAATTGATAGTGAAATAAACATATACGTTGAGATTTCATGTAAAATGATATGCGAATGAAAAATGAGAATATAAAGGGTGAGCCAAAAGTCTTGGTACTTTATAGAAAAATTTCTTTTTCTTCCTTATTACAAATCAAAAAATGCTCAAAGTTGGACATATAATCACTTGCAACTAGATGAATATTATCCTAAGATATTCGATATTCGAAATTCTATCATATGTAAAAGCAAATTTTGTTCATTTCTAGCAAGGAAATACTAGAAAAACTAAAAGTTGTCCAATAAAATAATCTCATTAAGAAAGTCGATTTTTCAGATGGAGAAGTTCCCTTGTGAAATCCATCTATGTAGACAACAACAAATGACATATTACAAAACGCTAAAGGTAAATCTTTTGTAAAATTGTTCAATGAATGTCTATGATAGTATCAATTGTTGAGTAAAATTGATGCAAAACATCTTTCAAGTATAAATTTGATGTTTGAATTATTCATTATTTGCGATTAAATATTAACATTGAATTTTCTTGTCTGCCATTCTGACAATCACAATTGATTTTTCAAGTTTTATATGAATCAGTGTGCTATTAATTTCATTATTTCGACCAGCAAAAGATCGAGGAAAGAAAGACATTCTGTATAAAAATATTATTTTACTATATTGTAAAAAAAGAATTCAATTAAGTTTTTCAAAAGCGTTTAACTTAATTGATTTCTAGGAAATCAGTTCAGTCATCACTATAGTCTTAACTATTGAAATTTCCCTATTTGAATAATGATAATTCACCTTATCATTTAAATTGAATTATGTCAAACATATTGGTTGATACTCTTGCATATGAAAATATTCTGTTTCTTTATTGTTATTATGTTGTTGTTGTTGTTGTTTTTGTTAAAGTGCGCACATGCATTTTTTTTTCTTTTTCTGACATGTAAGAGTGGCTTACTACTAGACAAGGTAAAGATGAAATACTTTATTTTATTGTTAGAAAGGGAACTCGAATATTTTTGTATTTTTTTTCCTGTTATTAGAATATACTTGTGGTTTTCTTTTTTGTTCTTGTTCTTTTCGTGGTAAATAGATCAATTTTCTAATTAACCTACATATAAATACTATTGAAAAGAATCGATTTGGTCGTTTTATATGTAATTCTTAACGTTTTAGACATTATTTAAAAAGAAAAAGTAAATCAATGGATTCATCATCACATACACAAATCGTTGTATCAAAAATCAATAAATTTCATCGATTAACAACAAATGATTCAGATATTACAATTAAAAATGCAATGCAAGAAATTCTTCATCCATGGCCTGAAGTACTTGCTGCTATTGATCAAGCTACTGATGATGATGAATTATTTACTTTAAATATTAGTCGAGCTGTCTTAACTCAAGTATTTACAATTATTTTATCGAAAGATTTTTTTAATAAAGATCATTTATTAGTACGTGAAATATTTTTTAGTTGTTTTAATATACTTGTTAATCATGCATATATATTTAAAACTACGAATTCAACACTACGAACAATATTTATTGATTCTAATGTACGTCTTTTAATGAAAATGATAACAAGTATAACATCATTAGTTAAATTTCAAAATGATGATTTTTCTAACATTGATGATCAACAATTATTTATTGCTATGCGTGAACATATTGATCAAGATTGTAAACATGATAATTTAACTGATGGAATTATATCATTAATATGGAATCTATCCGATAGAACAATATTAGTACCATTATTTTTAAATACTGATTATGTATATGGTGTTATTGAATGGATAAAAACTCGTGAAATTAAATTTCGTGATGATAAATTAAATGCACCTATACATATTTTACATAATTTATCACGACATGATGATGGTATTAAACAATAAAATATTCATAATGCACTTCAAGTTATTGAAGATATTAAAATTGAATCAAATAAATATGATGATCCTGATGATATGACTATACATATAGCTATGATTCGTGCACTACTTACTGATATAAATCAAATTAAAATTGATTCATCATCATATTCAAATCAAATTCTTAATATGATTATACAATTATGTATAGATGCTGCAAAAAATGAACGATATCGTTATAATGGTTCTCATATATCGGAACCATTAACCGTACTTGTAAAATTATTTTATAATGATGAATTATTACATAATACTTTTTGTAATAATGAAACAAAATCATCATCATCATCATCAAATATTCAATCTTTGATAGAACTTTTCGTATTATTACTGATCAAGTTTTATCGAAAGATAAATCTTGATAATGATATATTAGAAAATTATACTTGTGTTGTTATATTAAATCTATTTTGGCTTATTTCAAATCATGAAAAATATCATCAGATTATTCGAAATCATGAACAACTGATGGATATTATAAAACACGCTATACATGATGAAGAAAATTTTACAGACACATTTATGCCACGAACAATGAAAAGTATAAAACAATCAGCAAATGATATTCTAAAAAATCTTAATAGTTAAAATTTAATCTAATCTATTTATATAACATAATAACTAAGTATTTTCCATACCGTGCAAATTACATATGAAGTAAATTAAAAATTTTATTAGACAAATTACTAAAGCAAATCATATGCCTTGGTTTTATGAATTAAGTCTCATCATTGTTTTTTTTTTGTAAAACTGTATACATAGAAAAGTTTTATCATAATAAACTTGTACTATTTTCTTCTTAGAAATATATTCTTGTTGATATTCGTTCCATCTTATAGAAACAGAAAGATATACAGACATATAAATATTTATTATAAACCAGTTGTGTTATTTGGTATTATCTTTGAATATTATTGTTTTTCTTAATATATTTTAAAAATAAAAGTATATAGATATTTTGTTCATCATAAACGTTGTGACGCGATATCGCAAGAACATGATTTAATATCTTCGTTGTATAGCAATCCTTTTGTCTCTTTGTTCGATCGCATATCTGTACAATAATAAGATATTAGCATAAACATTAATAAGACGTTGTCATATTGCTCTGTTGAAACTACAAATAAGACAATATAACCTATAGTTATCGAAGAATCGCTGGTAAGAATCAACAACGGAGATTCTATATAATCTTCTCTTATTTATGAACTATATTTTCATCTTCATCTCCTACGATGCCAACTTTCATGGGCGAACTCATTTCTTCTACGTCGGACGACATAGATTTTGGCAAAGTCAACTTATCCAAAGAAGTTCCATTCATCGAAACAATTCATGAGATTATTCTTATGCAATACATTTCAACAATTCATGGACCAATATCATACTCATTAAAATGTTGTCATGCTACTCTAGTTAAATTCTTTTTTGATATCTCGTTTGGTTATCAGTAAAGATACGTGCACTATCTTATTCAGCAACATGTTTTGGAACATTTTTATGATCAACATACAAATGCTTTCCATAGGTCTCGATCTCAGATTTAGCAAATCATTTTGTCATCCAAATACGCGTCTGCTATCTCTATGCTTTAGTAAAAAAAAAATATCAAAAAAATTTATCGGCTCGAAGATCTTTTATACAAGTTATACTTAAAAACGGATACTTGAATAATTTCAATTTCTGCTTTTTTAGTTTTCACGTATAGAGAGAAAAACAATACTTGTGTTATATAATAATAGAATTATAATTGATTTCTTTTCTCTTTTTTGTCAAATATAACGAAATTAGTCAATGACTTGTGAATGAGTTCAGCACGCTCGCTCGTTAGCATGCGCTTAACAGAATATGTGACACGGCGGTTTATTGAGTTGAGACGCACGAAAATATATAATATCGACGAAAACTAAAAGTAGATGTATCGATAGTTGAAGTTACATCAACAAAAGCATTAATCGAACTTATTCATACTGAAAGCAAAATATTTCATTATCACATTCTAATTACTTTCTCAAGTCCAATGTATCTTCCTAAAGTCAAAGAACACACTTTTGAACTTTAACTCTTCTTCTAAATTGACGAGTACCAATAATCCGTTCTGGGAGTATTATTGGCTTATGAACTTTTTCTCTTGTTTTTGCTGAATTCTCTATAGTTTTCGACAAAACAAACTTCAACATAACCTAAATCATAATTATGAATAAAATCACATTACGTGAATGCAAATTGTCTGATAAAACTATGTTATTTTTCAAGAGGCATTCTTTATGCATGAAAGATATCGAAAGAACGTCGAAAGCTAATCAAGGACAAACAAGCAAATCATCAATAGTATATATGTGAATCTTCTCATGATTTGAATTTAGACGTACTGATTCGACATTAATAAAGCAAATGTTGCATATCTATCAGTCAGAAGTCATAATTTTTACAGTAATAAATACAAGTATTGGCGAGGTACAAATAGAAAGACAAAATCATTGCCGCTCATTCGGTAAAAATTAAGATTAGATATTTTTATTTACAATCAAGCATTTCATTACAAAAATATATTCTTCGTATGCTACTTTTTGAACAAATTTAAAATAGAGAACTTGAACTTTTTCTTTTTCTCATTTTTCGAAGCATCAGTGATCATTGAACTATCCAGAGTCGGTATGAATGATGAAGCCGTTGATTCCACAACATATGTTTGCCAGTAAGGATCTTCGAATGCAGCTTGAACGAGCCAAACTGTCATTGTATCATCCTTCACATGGAACAAAAATTTCGTTTGTCGTCGTATATCATATTCCCACTTTCTTCTTTCATAATTATTTAAAAAACCACAACGCTGTATCGAAACATCGAAACAAAGACTGCGAAGATGTACTAAATATTTGGGGTTGATCAGTCTGGCCGGATACCCCATTAATATCTTTTTTATTGTAAGGATAAAACATACTATTGTTCGGGCCATATGAAAGAGGATCATAGATAACCCTGGATCGGCCCGATCAACACCATGTTTTATCCTTATAATAGCAGAGAAAAGCTACCACTTTATCTTGTGAGCTAGTAGCTTTTCTCTACTATTATAAGGATAAAACATGGTGTTGATCGGGCCGATCCAGGGTTATCTATGATCCTCTTTCATATGGCCCGAACAATAGTATGTTTTATCCTTACAATAAAAAAGATATTAATGGGGTATCCGGCCAGACTGATCAACCCCATTTATTCAATAGTGGAACATTGTATAAGCTTGATGTATTGATTTTTAGATGTTCAATGTAAGGAAAGCACTTGCAGGGGTCGCAGCGGCCTATGTTGCAAGATCAGGAAAATAGGCAGGACACAAGTAAAAAAAAAATCAGGAATTTAAATAAAAGTCAGGACATTGTAAAATGTACGCTGATACTACTGTTCAGTATCAAATTTACATAAAAGTGGAAAAAGAGTAACGATTGAGAGTTAATACTACAAAATACATTGCTTTAATAAACGTCAAAACTGATTCAGAGAAAATTAAATGTGCAACAATATAATCCATATCACCCCGGAGCGGTTTTGAAGGGTACGTTCTCGGTGAATAAAATTTTATTCACCGAGAACGTACCCTTCAAAACCGCTCCGGGGTGATATGCTTTCCTTCAGATGCGCACTTCTAATTTCGTTTTTTTTCTTTTCGTTCTATCCTCTCTTGTTGTTTATTCTAGTCTGTATTCTCTCTTCATTCTTTCCTCGCTTGTTATTTATTCTAGTTTGTATTTTCTCTTCATACGTAAAATCATCACCATATAAATATTTGTTTGTGTAAATGTAACTCTTCAATTAAGCATTTTCAAATGCCGAGAAAAACAGATTTTTGTTCAAAATGGTTGCTTAAGTTTGATAATACTGGTAGAGTATGTTCTCGCTGACTTGCCAAAGGTAAAACATCAAGTTCATTCCGATGTATTGTGTGTAATACAGATGATCTCAGTTGTGCTAATGGAGGATGGCGTGATGTAAAGAAGCATTTCGATCGACCAAAACACATTCAATGTATGAAGGATGTTTTTGGTTCTATTCCACTTGTTGCATCGTCACATCCATCATCGTCTTTCTCAAGTAACACGAATGATGGCAGTGTATGTACAACAACATCATCAACAAGTGTAAATGAAACAAGAATTCCTTTCGTTCGTATTCAAAATTATCAAAGATCATTAACACATGAAGATAGTAAGTGTTCTTAATTATTATTTTTTGTGGAGTTATTTACCCTTTATCAGTTAGTATGTAAAAAGATGAAAAACTATCAGAATATGAAAGAAAACTGAAATACATATCTTCAATACATTTTTCGGTCATGAAGAGCAAGAATAGAGAAAAGAAATATCGAGTTAGACTCGATTATACCATAGACGCAATTTAGGAAAGAAAGAGAATGAAAAATGCACCGGTCAATACAGCCATCAGCACATGTTATTGACTACTGCCTGGAATTTTCTTTTCTTCTACTGAAATCTAAGGTTATCTTATAAGTTCATTTTTATAAATTATTTTTTGCTGCCTACGTGTACGGACTATAATATAAATTATTGTATATAAATTCAGTAGAGTTTTCATTTGATGGCAACTATGTTTCTAATTTTATATTCTAGAAGTCACGCGTGCTGAATGTATATGGGCAATGGCTACATCTCAACTTGGCTTTTCATACAATTCATCACAATTTCTACCAGAAGTATTTCAATCTATGTTTCCTGATAGTCAAATCGCAACTGATTATTCTTTATGTTCACGAAAAATGTCTTATGTTATTTCGCATGGAACAGGTTACTATTTTACTAATGAATTAATTAAAGATGTACGTAAAGCTTATGGTTTTACATTAATTATTGATGAAACAACTATTGCTGATGTTCGTAAACAATTGGATATTTTTTTTCGATATTGATCAGAAACGAAAAATTGTGTATGTGTTCGATTTTATAAAAGTATTATGCTTGGTCATGCTACTGCAGACATCGTTTCTCGATCGATTATTGATTCATTAAAATCGGATGGAGTTGATATTACAAAAATATTGATGCTCGGTATGTCATACTTTTCTCCTTTTGCTCGTATCATATGTTTTATTCGCATAGGGAGAGATAATCCAAATGTAAATAAAGCAATTGAAGATATTCTTAATGAAGAAGTAATTGCTGAACGAAAAAAAAGGTAATGACTCTTGATTTTCTTTGATTCCTGGTGATTTTTTGAATATTGTTCATCAGATCATCGTCTATCCCGGTGCTAGGTCTTATTTCAATTGGTTCATGTCCTTTACATGTTATTCATGTTTCTTTTCGGAAAGGATTTAAATCCACGGTATGGTTTATTGATGAATCAATTAATGATATTTGGTTTTGGTTTTCTCGATCTTCTGCTCGTCGGGAAGATTTTATATCAGCTGCGAACAGTATTAATGAAACTTATTCTCGTTTTCTTTCTCGTTTTGTTGTTACTCGGTGGATTGAAGTAGGTCCCGTGATCGAGCGTATCATCGATCAATGGAATATTATTAAAGAATATTTTCTTACATATCTTCCAACAATCGATAAAAAAATTGAATCAAATGATAAATATGTCCGAATTAAAAATTTTATAACTGATAAATCGACTCTTGCTAAATTTCATTTTATTCTTTTCCTCTATCAAACAGTATTTAAAAGAGAACTTGTCTGGTTGCAGCAAGAACAACCATTGATTCATTTATTATATGGTGAATGTTGCAACTTGTTACGTAATATTATGTTGTCATTTGTCAAAGAAGAACTTTTACAAGATAAAGAAGGTAGTGATTTGTTGTCTGTTTCTTTCGAGCTTCAAAATAGTCAAAAAAATAATGTAAATATCGACATTGGTGAAACTACTCGAACATATATTAAAGATTTATCTGTTAGTGAAAAAACAAATTTTTTTCATGATATTCGTCAAGTATATTGTACTATGACAGTAAGTAATGATTTCAAACTAATTAGATGATAGCATTATAATATTTCAGAAGGAACTAACTAAATCATTACCACTTAAGAATGATTTTTTACGACATCTCCAATGTCTTCAACCTTTAGCTCGAAAAGAAGAATCTTCTCGAACAAGTATCATGTACCTGTCACGACATGTTCCCCATTTATTAACCAATGAAGAGGTGGATCGACTTGGTGCTGAATGGCGTGTTTATCAAATGGCTGATATACCAGAAGAATGGTTTAGAAAAAGTACAGTTTCTTCGGACAATATTATTGAATATTTACCTATTGATAAATATTGGTATCAAATATTTTCTACTACTACATCCATTGGTACACCACAATATGTAGTATTAACTAAGCTCGTGAAATGCTTGTTATCTTTATCTCATGGAAACAGTGATGTTGAAAGAGGTTTCTCCGAAAACAATCATCTTGTATCAGAAGATCGTTCATCATTAAATGAAGTATCTATTAATGGTTTACGAGCTACGAAAACTGGTGTTAAATTTTTTGGTAGTGGTAAAGTTCATGTAGTGAGTATAGTCCTGATTTATTCGAGATGTTATGATTTCTATGTTTAGGTTCCAACAACGTCTACTTTGCTTTCAAACGTGAAAGAAGCTTATTCACGTTATACAAAAGACAATGAACAGCAACAGAAATTAATTAAAAGTACAGATGTTATTAATGGAAAACGAGGTCCTGATGCCGAACATGAACTATTAGAAGAAAAAGAAACTCAGTTGATAAATGAACAAAAGAATTTACAAGAAGAATTGACTAAAGCGACTAATATGTTGGAGGAAGGGACCACAAGACTTGCTGCAGCTATGAAAAATAAAAAATTTGATGATATAGGTATAGCCGAAGTACTGGTAACAGCTGCTAATGCTAAATTAGCTGCTCTAAAAACTAAATTAATTGAAAATAATGAGAATTTGAACCGATTACGAAAAAAACAGAAAAAATGAATAATTGAAATAAATATATTTTGAACATTATCTTTCATTTTTGTGAAAATACTCTAAAAAAATTTTTGTATAAACCTTAAAGATAGACGGAGTAAAATAACAGGAAAGATCATAATTATGCAAACTTACTCCTATAGGAATAAATCATAAAATATCAGGACAAAATCAGGATTTTTAGTCAAAAACAGGAAATCAGGACATTTTTAAAAAGTCAGGAAAAATCAGGAAAGTACACACGCTGCGAGGCCTGCACTTGGCCATAATAATAATATCTTCTTCGTTAAATTGATGCTCAGAAAGAGAAGTATCAAGATGTTTTACACTATTATTTTTTCTCAGAAAACTATCTACATTTGCCAAAAGTACATCGAAGGTTATACAAAGTGAAGTTATATTTGTGAGAGATACCAGGAATTCAGCTAATACATCGTTATCTTGTTTTGAGCATATGACGACGAGTTGCGTCATTTGAGGACAATTTACATGCATTATCAACCATTTGAATGTTAAACTGTTCATATTATCTACTATAAGACACTTTACATTTTCAAAGTAGTAATGACATGGTTTAATATTATTTGTGTTGTCAAGTTTCAGATTTATGTTATTATTGACTATCATCAGATCATTATTATCAGTGCGGTTGGGAGCTGTCCAATATTGAATAACCGGCCAATCAAATTCATTTCGAACATGGTACTTCATTTTGTTTATGTCAAAACTACTGAAATTCGGATATTCATGTTTACCTATTATTATGTTGAAGTTCTTTTTAGTTATTCAATATGAGCTTTGAAATAAAGCGAGTATATTGTGAAGTTTATCTTCTTCTAAACGAAATGTAGTTGTTCGAAGACTAAAATGAGTCAGAGATGGTAACGACGTTTCTAATAATATTTGCCACGCGTTTGCATCAAAAATTCCACTATGTGATTTAATTTCAAGATGATTTAGAGCAAGCATAAATTTGAAATATTGTTTTAACGTATCCATCGTTATTGAAGCGTTTTCTTGAAAATATAAAACTAGTGTACGAAGTGTAGACATTGGTACAATATTCGTTTTTCGGCTCTCTTCTGTTTCATAATAATCATAAGGTCTTTTATTGTTTAATTCAACATCGAGATATTGAAGATGAGGACAACACTTAAAAATATATTGTAGATCTCGAAATAGAAACTGTATGCCAGAAATAGTTAAATATTCAATATTTGATGAGACTGTCGCCAAATCACTCCAGTTTATAGAATACATTTGACTCACAAGAAAAAATCGTTTAAGAGAGTTTAAGCGAAAAAGATCGACAATAATGTTTCCCAATAGCGATCTGTTGACCGTGTTCATTGCTTTGATTGATAAAGTGTCAATAGTTGTTTGTGATAAGGAATTAAGAGCTCTTTCAATCATTTCCCATTTGACGTCTTCATCATTAAAATGAAAATGAAGTGTTCGGAGTCGTTTAAATAATGCAAACGATGGGAAAAAAGATAGAAAAGGATAAACTTGACCAGGTGTGTCTTGTTCTGATATGACTAATTCTTCTATTTTTTCAAGATAGGCTGGTAAAAGACCCATACAAAAACGAAAATCCTCTTTTTGACATTGAATAAAATCAAAACGAAGTCGTTGACATTCAGTAATGAGCACATTAAAACGTTGATTGAGTTGAAAGCTGAAAGCTCTTAGTAGATCCACTCCATTAATATATTTCTCAATAAGATCAATTAATATTTTGTTTGGAAGTGATTCAAGTTTTGAGAGTGGCATCTGTGTGAGCAAAATAATAGTAAAAATTTACAAGTAGTGTTAAAATGTTTTTACGATGAAGTCATATTGATTCAGTGTTTTCTTGCAATGAGAAAAAAAAATTATCTAAAAACAAATGTTTTATAGGAATGTTGAAATTCATAGTTACGATTTGTTATGTTTCTTTTTTCAACGGAATACATTTTTGTTTGCTTTTTCTCTCTTTATCAAGAAGAAGTTTTAGTCATGCGTAATAGTATCATTGATTGGTTGTCAGAAGAAAAAGTCGTTTCATTCGGCTTATCAATAGCAAATGCACTTCTCGCTATGGACATCTTTAGAGAAAATTGAAAGAATTCTAATTCATTCTAGTCTAGCATAACATAAGAAACGAATTAAAAAGGTACTATTTGCTTGTTACACCAATAATACAGAAGAAATATAGAGGCGGATACTATCGAATGCAATTTGCCGCGAACAGATATGTGAAAAATTCGTTCCAATTCCAATCTAGAGATAGTATGTTTGAATCAGAATAAAATTCTAAATCGTTCGATATAAAATCATTTCAAACATGGGAGATACACGAGTCCTACAAGAAGTAGCAATTGCTTCTACAAATTTTCCAAGCATCCTATTTTTACTCGAATAAGACTAATTAACCCAACGTATATATATATATTCAGGACGACTTTGTGCTTAACGTTGGAAAATATATTCATACAGTATCATTTTTTTTTCATTGTTATCCTAGTGATTGTACTTCCTGCTATTCATATCTGACATGTGATTGTTAAAGTAGTGCATTATCGACATTTTAATTAGTTTGCACTCTTTCCTTCTAGAATCAGTGATGTCTAAAATATTTCTACTGGATCAAGGTCAATAGCATAACTGTAAATCGTCTCCCATCTCTATAAGAGTGACTAAATGATACTAGACTATTTTGATCAAAAGAATTGAAGTTTGATTAACCAATATTTAATGGACAAAGCATAATATGTAACCTTCTTTGCTGTTTTTTACAAGTAAAAATAGTCCGGGCATTCGATATTTATTGCTTGCTTTCACTTTCTTTTTAACAAAGTTCAAAAATCAAAATGTCTAAAAGAAATTACCTATCATTTCATAATTAGAGAGAACATCACCTAACTGCTAACACTACAGAAATAATATATTCAAACAACGAAAGTTTTGCCGCTAGATTGTTCAATATTTATAAGCGAGGGGGGAGGGGGCGAGAGGACTAATTGGACTCATTTAAAACTTAATTGTTTTCCCTGCAAAGTTGAATTTGCGTTGCCCATGCCTACGGTGCCAAGATTTATGAACGACTTGGTTTCTCCTAGGTTAGGTGACACGACGTTTGACAAAGTCAACATGTTTAATGAATTTTCATTTGCCGAAACAGAGCATGAGATTATTCTTATGCGATGCATTTCAAGAATTCATGGACCAATATCATAATCATGAAAATACTGTCATGCAAATCTAGCTTCATTCTTGTTTGATGTCTCGTTGTTTGATCGATTGTCAAGCAAGATACGTGTACTATCTTATTCAATAACATGCAATATAACATCTTTTATGATCGAGATGCAAATGCTTTACACACTGTTTCATGTCGGATTTCGTAAATGATTTTATGATCCAAACTGCTATTTGTAATAAGCGATCGGACGAAGTCATTGCTAATCAAATAGAAAAGAATTTCATAAGAGCACATATCAATGAATTTATCGACTTGAAGGTTATCTATACAAGTCGTACTTCAAAACAGGTGCTTCAGTAAGTTCAACTTCTCCTATTTTTTCTATTATGGAGAGAAAAAATATTGTGTTATACAACAATAAAATTATGATTGACTTTCTTTCTTTCTGTTTTTAGTCAAATATCACAAAATTAGTCAAAACTGTGTTAAACAAGACCTATGAGTTTGTCATTTGAGGCTCTTCGCTATAAATGGTCATCTAATAATCTTTTCTCTCGAATTGTAGCCAGTCTGTCATCTATAATACTGACTAATTCAACTTGCTGAATTTAATTTCGGATGAATGTTGAAAAAATGAAGTTTGTCTTTCTCGTATGAGTTATCTTTGACAGAAGCGTTCGTTTTCATGCAGCTGACTGAATAGCCGTTTGTATATATTAGAAGTGGAGCGCCATTCCAGCGTCTATTTCGAAGAATTCATCAACAGTTTTATCGATTTGCATAGAAATAGTAGAGTTTTATTCAAATATAATTTTGCGACCTTTGGATCTTTTCTCTACTGAATAAATAAAGCACAAATTTAAAAATTTGCTTTTACAGATAAATTCTTTAATGCACTTTCGCTGTGAAACCAAAGAGACATAGTGCATATTGCTCTTAGATAACGTCTTAGAACTTTTAGGGTGGCACTCAACCGCCCGACTATTTTTGGTTATACACCACTATTTTTATCACAATTAGAATATGAAACCAATGAAACAGAAGCACAATTAGAAAAAATGTCTCGTGATACGAAAGGAGTTTATCAAACAAAAGTAACAGAAAAATTACAGAAACACGTAAGATTTTTTAAAATTTAACAAAAAAGGTCTTGTTCTTTAAATTGTAAATTAATCTCATCTAAACTTCAATTGTTCTATTTTTCTTTTGTTTTTGTTTTGCTTGTCTTACTTTTTCTTATGTATATGATGAAAAAAATTCAATAAATATATATTATTCATCAAAATCTTTATTTTCATCGTCGGATAGAATATAAATCAATTTTTCTTCTTGAAGTATATCTTGTCCACGTTGAACTTCACGACAGAAGAGATATGCTTGTGCGAATGTATCACATCGTTTGATAGAAGAAGCTTTGAAATTCAATAGAATTTGAATAGTTAGAATACCTCAACAATAAAACTGTTGGGACGATGAATGACTATTAAAAACTTCAGAGAACATTTTCAATTTTCCAAGTACTTTTTATCTTACGTATTGATTAATTGAAAATGACAAGTCTGCATCAACAACTGTACAACATCTTTCAAAAGTGATCAACATATTTTTTGATATCCTAAAAAAGAAAAGTCAGATTATGGTTTTATGTTTAAAAGGTATTATCTCTAGCTCAAATATAAACTTCCAACACTTTTTTTCAATGTGAATAACTAATACACGATATTTCATTTCAATTGATAGCAATATGACAGATTTTAAGCCATTAATATCTATTAGAACTGATAAAAACTTTGGCATTCTATTCAGATTTGTTTTATGAAACAAAATATTGTTCGTTTCATTCATCACATAAGATTGTCATCATCATAGATAATAAAGGAATATCTTTATTTGATCAATTACGACCTATGAATGACTATAGATCATCTTTATTAAAAAAATAATTTCGATTTTTCATAATATCAATATTATTTATAATTGTATGAAAATGATAGTCTATGTAATCATAATTGTCATTTAGTACTTTTATAAGATTGTATCACATCATGATTCCAAATTCAACATGGACATGATTGAATATCTGACTAGATTAGTTGTTTTCCTTTTTTAAAAAACGAACAGAAAAAATAAAAATAATGAAGTTCATTTTTTAATCTTTGTTTCCTTGTTTGTTTATTCAATATGACCAGATTTTGTGATCATAATCTCGGCTGTTGGATGACCGGATGGTGTACCTACAGTTTATATAAATAAAATAGATTTTGATAAATATAAAACTAATCAAATAATATACCATAATTTTCCATTAACTTAACAACATTCATACCTTCAACAACTTCACCAAAGACAACCTATGATAAAAGAAGAAAAACAATAAATAAAAAAATTAATAAATTGAAACATCGTACATATTTGCCATCGAGCGATCGTGTTACATCAGTTGTAATAAAAAATTGTGAACCATTGGTATTTGGACCACGATTAGCCATTGATAATATACCGGGTTTTGAATGTTGATGTATGAAGTTTTCATCACCAAATATTTCACCATAAATACTAAATGAAAAACAAAATTCATATTTAAACAACGATATAAACTTCAATAATCAATCTACCTTTTACCACCAGTACCATTGCTTTATATATATATATAAAACGAAAATCATTATATTTTTCAAATACAATTTATTTTATCATTAACTTACTGATTGGTGATGTCACCACCTATTGAATCAATTAATTAACAATATGATAAAAATATAAATTAAAATCTTTACCTTGAATAACATACCGAGGAACTATACAATGAAATTTACTTCCCTCATACCCAAAACCTTTTTCACCAGTACATAATGCTCGGAAATTCGCTAAAAAGAAAAAACGAATTAATAAATCAATAAATTTAAAAAAAAAATACCTGCTGTTTTTGGTACAGTATCATCAAACAACTATGAAAAAGATAAACGAATATTTATTTTTTAAGAAAAACTTTGTTTTACTTTGAATTGAATTTGACCTATAAAATTATTACCGATTGAAATATTAAAAAACACATTCTTGCGACTCTGTAAACCAACTTGGTCTGTTGTAATGGATCTGTTTCGCCAAGCATTAGCAATACTTTGTTTCATTTTATCCACCATTTGAGGTTCATTGAACAGATTGCTTGAAAAAAATGAAGCTTTACTAAAGAAAATTTTAAAATTTATTGTATTACCCATTTATAATACACTCTCTTAAATCAAAATTCGATTTATGTTTGTGATTATCTGATCTCTAAAATATCCTATTTCGCCATTTATTTTTTTAAAACCAAGCATATTTACAGTATATGTAACCCGCAGCAAGTTACCAACGAACGAGTGTTCGGTTTTGACATTGAGATTTTCTTTTGTATATTCAATTACCAATACTTGTTCATCATTTTTCCAAAAGTTGAATAATTTCTCATCCTAAAAATAAGCTTGTTTTAAAATAACTATTTTTTACTTTTCCATTAATAACGTTAAACTCTTTGCTCAACATGCAATAATGAAAGAGTATTATAATCTTATCATCTGTATGTTGCAAATAAGGCAAATAAAAATCGACTAAATTGCTGATTGAATACGACATTTAATATGAAAACAAATTGAAAATGAAATTTCGTTGATAAATCAATTATATTCGTTTCGTTCTCTAATTTATCTATTATTTTACAGTGGTTGAATAATGAACAAGATTTCTGACCTTCGTACTAAATTAAATATCGATCAAAAGATGTCCCTACATATTTTATGATTTCTAGTTCAGATAATCTGACTAACATCGGTTGATTCATAACAAGCAGTCGGTGAATTAAGGGTGAGGATGAAGATCAGAAATTCGAATCTGATGTTAGTTTTTTTAATTTTTTTTTTGATCAAATAGAGGACTTTTTACGAAAAAAATTATTTCTTATAAAATTTGATCAAAGGTTATCGATGATGAGGAATTCGAATTTTTTAGGCGTTTCTCAGAATTTATGACCCTTGAAGTTTCATCACAGAATGACTATTTCAGGGAAAAGCGGTAATTGATACATTTTTGCCGAAAGTTTTCGAGAATAGAGAGTTTGAATATATGGGTCATTTATGAAGATTAATGGATCAAGAAATATCCTCATCTACTCAAGTCATACAACAATATATCAAGTAGCAGGCTATGCAATCATTTTTGCTATAGAATGGAGCTAAGCGGGTCTCGTGAAGTAGACGCGTAACTCTTCGTGAAGTGTTTTGCAATTACATTCATGTGTATTATGAATTAAATAAAGCCATGCGAGTAGTTCAAATATGAGTAGGATATATGATAAACTGAAAAGGGTCAGCTTCTGAGGAATTATATTAGTACATGGGAGCGACTAGACGTTTATCTGAAAGATACAGCAAAAGAATCTTTGAGTGAGAACTGTGACCGATAGAAAAGCTATCAAATGGCTTAATCGAACAGGTTGAAAATACGCCGCAAATCGATTAAAACCAGAAAATTCTTTCTTTAATGCCGTTCTAGGAAAATTTTTACGCTCAAGTGAAATATTTTAATAAGATATTTCAGAGAGCGCATCACTTAACGCACTAGTATTGATATAATCTCTACACAAAGAAAAGCAGGTACTTCCTTATTGACACTCAAGAAATGATAACTTTGAAAACTAGGTATAATAAGATTAATTAATCCGTGTGAACGATATCAACTTGTCTTCGAAAGTCATTTTAGAAAAAAACTTCGACAAAATAGAAAAAGTGCAACATTGTTATTCTTTTCGTTATATACTATGATTACATTAGTGTTTCTTCACTATTGCTGGAGCTTAATTCTGAAATACATTAGTATAGCAAGTTACCATTTTACTTCGAATGAAGATCACAAAACACACAAGAGTGTAGCAATATATCAATAACTTAAACAACATTTTTCTCAAGTGAAAACTAGCTCCATTAGTACTATTCAGCCAATAGGGAGATGTTGTATGTGTTAACCAAGGATATGAGTAATGGAATAGTTATGACGAAACTAAGACCCGCACTTTTTTCAAAGTACTTCAAAAATTTTATTTAGTGTGAGACAAAGAATTATTTCGCGTGTTAAAGAAATTAGAGAAAGCTGGAGATGTCATATAAAAAGTAAAATATACGAAAAAGGATGTTCTCATGAACAGTTCAGTTATTACATACGGATAAAATCTTTCGAATTATTCAGTCAGAAGTTACATCCAGCTTTCTCATTTCTATGTGTCATAAGTTATGATGAACTTTTTAACTTTTACTCGATGACCAAATTAAAGATTCATATTCAATATAAATGTATCATCTCTTAGAGTCTGTACTATTTCTCATTGCGCTTTCCACATCCCTATCAACTTGCAATGATTGATGAGAATTTCTTATTCGATATTAAGCTCAGCATTCTTGAGGAAAATGCTTATGAGAAACTTTGTGTGGATTTTTTAGTTCGCATCCGTAGCCAGATGATATGGCAAATATGTGTACGCACGATGAATGTGATAATCAACATGTGAAGTTAGAGAAAAATAAGAGATGCGAATTTGCCTCTTACATATACTATACTTTCCTTTGAGAGGCTTTCTCCTTCAGTGTCTTCCTCTTTGAAGCAAAATCAAAGGAAAACCAGATGGTGATATATAGTTAATAATCATTACATACTAGCATTCACGATTGTGACAAGTCAAAGTGAAGGTAAGAGTCAAGGGGGAAACAGCGGACTTCAAGACTTCAAAAGACTTCAACAGACTTCAACAGACTTCAGCCGCTGTGACTTCATATTTTCACAAGACTTCAGAAGACTTCTAAAGACTTCTGAAGACGTCATAGGACTTCAAAT